TTGGAAGATGGGACAATAGTTGCAAAATCAGTTGTAGTGGAGTTCGCTGTTCAAGAAGGTTGGCTTCCATTTTTAATCCATATATTTTACATTCCAAGCACTGGTAGGTTTTTGTGTTTAATGACTGGAATATGTTGTCTTTTATTAGGTCACTTCTGTCCTGCTCTTGCCAAGGCTGTGAAGACAATGAAGAAGGGAGAAAAGGTCCTCCTGACAGTGAAACCACAATGTAAGTACAAGTTGCTCAATGGAAGATGCATGCTCTTTTTGATTAGAGATGTGCAGGTCATATTTCATGGATATAATTTTTTTGCAGATGGATTTGGTGAGAAGGGCAAGCCCGCTTCTGGTGATCAAGGTGCTGTCCCAGCAAATGCTACATTGAATATCAATTTGGAGCTAGTATCATGGAAGACTGTCTCTAATGTAACGGATGACAAGAAAGTCATCAAAAAGATCTTGAAAGAAGGAGAGGGTTATGAGAAGCCCAATGAGGGAGCTGTGGTCAAATGTTGGTGTTATATCTTACCTATATATTTTTTTCTTTTTTGGGTTTTGGGAGATTTTTAGACCCCATTTCAGAATATCAAGCTTACAGTTTTCCTTTCTTTCTGTAGTGAAACTTGTTGGGAAACTGCAAGACGGCACCGTTTTTGTCAAGAAGGGTTATGGTGATGATGAAGATGACCTCCTGGAATTTAAAACAGATGAAGGTAACTTTTGCTAGCCTGGACTTCAGATAATTTTTTTTGCTTTGAACTATTTTGCTTTCTGGTTTTGACTTGGCACGCTGAACAGAACAAGTTAATGAGGGTTTGGACAAGGCTGTGATGGCAATGAAAAAGGGTGAAGTTGCTTTGTTGACCATTGCACCTGAGTATGCCTTTGGTTCAACCGAGTCACAGCAGGAGTTGGCTGTTGTTCCTCCAAATTCAACAGTACAGTATGAAGCCGAGCTGGTTTCTTTTGTCAAAGTGAGTTATCTGTGATTTGCATGCATGTCCATGCAAGAAGTCCCATCCAGCAGTATTTCCACCTGCATGTTTAAGTGATAATTTCCTTTATCTTGTTTAGGAGAAGGAATCTTGGGATATGAACACCCAGGAAAAGATTGAAGCTGCTGGCAAAAAGAAGGAAGAAGGTAATGCACTATTTAAGGCTGGGAAATATGCGAGGGCTTCAAAGAGATATGAGAAGGTAAGCATATGTTTATTATGCAATACTGGGTTTTAATTTTTATAAATTTGGAATTTTGTTTAAATCAAGTTTTTCTGTATGCAGGCTGCAAAATACATAGAATACGATACTACTTTTAATGAGGAGGAGAAAAAGCAGTCCAAAGTGTCGAAAATTTCTTGCAATCTGAACAATGCTGCATGCAAGCTGAAACTGAAGGATTACAAGCAAGCAGAAAAGCTCTGTTCTAAGGTTTGAAACTATCTGAGGAGAATCTTGTATCGTTAAGTAATTGTTAGCTAATTGGTGAAAGTCCTCGTGTCCTGTCTAGGTGTTGGAACTTGAAAGTTCAAATGTTAAAGCGCTTTATCGGAGAGGCCAAGCTTACATGAACCTGGCCGACCTGGATCTTGCTGAGCTTGATATTAAGAAAGCACTTGAAATTGATCCTAACAACAGGTATATTCAGAGTTTAGCAGATTCCATTAGCCAGTTGCAGACTCAGTCTGAAGTGGATTGGATCTTAATAGGGCTCTTGTTGCTTGGTTTTGGCTCTAATGACTTTTGTTTTGGGCCCAGGGATGTGAAGCTCGAGTACAAAGCCTTGAAGGAAAAGGTGAAGGAGTACAACAAAAAAGACGCCAAATTTTATGGAAACATGTTTGCCAAGTTGAATAAGTTGGAGTCAGTTGACTTAAATGTATTCTCTCTTGCCTTTGGATCTTTCCTTTCTATTTTGTTACAAAGCATAACCAATTGAGGTTAAATTTTATATATGTATGTGTTGCAGAAAACCGCTCCCAAGGATGCAGAACCAATCAGCATTGACAGCCAGGCTTGAATTTGAGAATAAAAGTCAAAAGTAGCTGACATTTTACAAGTATTGGTTGCCGGGCCTTCTCTCTTTTTTTTTTTTCTTTTTCCGGGAAAAAGTATGAATGTGAGGCTATCTGGTCTTTGGCATGGATGAATGCTTTGAACCGTCTCCAGATTAATTGCTGATATTAACGCTAGTGTTGAAAAATGATTGATGTTGAAACTTTTATATCTGGGTTTCTTCTCATGTTTCCTCGAAATGTCTAATGAAGAAAAATGGATGATCCGAATACTTCCCCTCTACCTTTGTGCGGGGTGGATTGATTTGTGTGCTAGTATTTTAGGATGTCATTTTTTCCGTGGATGGCCCTGTTGACGAGGTTATGCTGGCTGTTTCAATCTGTTGATCTATTTGTCTAGTACCAACTGCTGGCATTCAGTTGGAACTCAATCTAGGGCATGGTTCATCTCTAAATCCATAATGCTTAGGCCCGGGCATCGATATGAAAGTAAATTTAACCTGGATGCTATCTAGACTTGGCGGTTGGCCCAAAAAAAAAAAAAAATGACTTGGCGGTTGGTTTAATCAAGAGCCTACCCATTTAAGTATTTGTTCAGTGTCATAATGAAAACGTTATGTGTATTCTATTTAATGTTCTGGAAACCTCGGCAGTTAAGGAAATTACCCCTAATTTGTTCCTTATGTTACGATCAATTAAGGGAGTGCTTGTTTCACAGATTGGAATCGGAAATGGAAATGGAATCAAAGTCTCTGGTTTTGGAATTAAACTTTTCGGGGGCGTTTGGTAAGAGGGTATCGGATTCGGGGAATGGAATGAACTCCATAAATGGTGTTTGGTTCACTGGAATGGGAATTGAAATTTTGGAATGATTTCTAAAAATTTGGTGTTTCTCCATTCCCAAGTATTTTGGTGGGTTTTGTCCGATTCCCAAGTTTGATTCCAAGAAACAAATCCAATTACATATTATAATTATACAATGATATAATTAATATTTATATATATTATACATATTATATATTATAATATATACATATATATAATATATTATAATTATAATATTAGTACATTATATAAATATATATTATAATTATTTAGTTAAATATAATTATATTCATATAATATATATTATAAATTTATTAATATTATATAATAATATATTTATAATATATATGTATATTTATAAATGCATATTATATGTGCATATGATTATAATATACACATGTATATAATATTAATAAATTATATAATTATATTTATTATTTTAAATACAATAATATATAATAATTACTATATCTAATATTAATATGCATTATACTTATATAAAATATGAGTACAATTAATATTTATATATTATATAATTATAATTATGTATTTATTTTATAGAGTTTGTATAATTATAATTAATTATATATATAATATTTAATTTAATTAGTTACAAACTTATAATAATGATGTTATTGTATTATATAATTATATATTATAATTATTTAGTTAAATATAATTATACTTATATAATATATATTATAAATTTATTATTATTATATAATATTATATTTATAATATATGTGTATATTTATAAATGTATATTATATGTGCATATAATTATAATATATACATGTATGTAATATTAATAAGTTATATAATTATAATAATTATTATTTTAAATATAATAATATATAATAATAACTATATTTAATATGTAATATATATTATATTTATATAAAATATTATTATAATTAATATTTGTATATATTATATAATTATATATTTATATTATAACATTTGTATATTTATATTTAATTATATATTTAATATTTAATTTAATTAGTTACAAACTTATAATAATAATATTATTATTTATATGTATTATATAATGTATATTAATTTATGTAATATAATTAATATTATCAATTATACTAATAATTATACATGTTTACTAATAGAAACTATTAATTAGTTAGACTAAATTTACTAATACATTTATATTAATATATTTAATTAGTGAAGATTTCTTATATCCCATTTACAAAGAGCCAATAACTATCATTTACAATGGGATTTATAATATATTTATTATATTCCATTCCGAAAGAGTCGACGAACCAAACATCAACTATAGTAATGATACACATTCCAGGTATTTGAACCAAACAAATGTATTGGAATGAATGACCTCATTCCAAACCCAAGATATCCGATTCCGAATCCGAATCCGATACCGATGTGCGAACCAAACGCCACCTTCATTCCAATATCTAGCGTGGTTCATACGTTGGAATTAGTATCATTCCAATTCCTGATGCTTGGTTTGACGAGTGTTTGGGAATTAAATGCAATTAAATTTCAAATTTACCCATGATATAACAATTCTTATAAAACAAAAGAATTACACATACGACAAATTAACATCTCCATAATTGTAACTACAATAATTATAAACTTTTTGATAAAACATAAGAAAATCATAAACCATAAAAAAAATTAATACCAGAAAATAAATATAGTGGTTGTATTAACAAGGAGTAAATTTCCAAAAATAAGGAGTTTTTAAATTAACTTCCCAAAGGGTGGCGATTTTTTAGTATCTTTCCAAAGGGTGAAAAACGCATCCAAAGAATGCGTTCTTCCAAATAAAAACGTAACTTTCAAATACGTTATTTTAATTTTCATAAATTTGTTTAAATATGAAAAATTGGTTAAATAGCGCATAACATACTAGCTCTTTATGAGAAACTAGCAGATTTTATAGTATGTTTTGTACCAACTCTTTATGGGAAACATACCAGTTCTTTATAGAAAAAAATTGGTTAAATAGTGTCCAAAGAAAAACTAGTATGTTTTGTATTTATCATAAATTAAATATGTGAAAGTTAAAAAAAAAAAAAAAGAAATTGCCCATAATATACCAGTTCTTTATAGGAAACTGACAGGTTTTGTATTTAATGCATTATTTAACCAATTTTTCATATTTAAACAAATTTACGAAGGTAAGAATTGTAGTTGCCTCCCCCAAAGCTGGGCTTTTGCGCTGTGCCGCTGCTCAAGTCTTTTTTGTTGTGCTCCCCTCCGTTCTCTCTTTCTACTCTTGGCAGCTTATTTTATTTGATTTAGAAAGGATTCAATTCCTTCACTCAGACAACTCCAGAACTCTTTTTTGCTGCCTGCCACTCCTTGGTGACTGACTTCATCAGTAAATCAACTTCACTTTCTTGAAATTTCTGTAAGTTTCTGTTTTCTTAATTTTTGTTTTGTGTATTTTTAAGTTCTTTTGGTGGACTAGAACTGGAATATATGAACTTGGAAAGAATCTTGAATGTTTTTGGATATGGCCTTGTGTGATAGGAAAAGCTTGTAATTTTGCATGCATATTACGCATTTGATGAAAGACCTGAATGATGAATTTGATTTCAGATGGGTTATTCTCAGATTTTTTTTTTCAAGAAATTTTGGATAAGAGATGAAGACTATATGATGAAGAAGAAGAGATAGGAAATCTGATGAAGAAGAAGAATAGAAGGTGCGGCGTGTGATGGAGAGAAAGAGAGGGTAGGTCCGTCATAAATGTTGTTTAAGGGAATAAGTTGAGGGCTTTGTCCAAAACCTTTCAATTTGCTCCGGAATGGGATAAGTCCGATTTTTTAGAAATGATTCCAAAAATTACATTTCAATAGGCTTAACCCAAGCAACAAATAAGGGGTTTATTCCATTCTGTGATTCTCAAACCCTTTAACCAAGCAGTCCCTAAGTTCTGTATCAATTGTATTTAGGGTTTGTCCTAGAGGCGTCCACTGAATATTAGTATTTAATAAGGATCCACTGTATTAGTACATTGGAAAAGTGAAATTAGATTGAGGAAATATCTAAATGAAGGGGTTTTATAAGTGCTCATTGGTATCTCGTAATTTTTTAATTTGATTAATAACATTTTCTAATTTGATAAATAGCACAAAAGAATTCTAAGCACTTCTAACCAAACATCTTTTCCTCCAATCTAAACCTTTGTCAGAATTATTATTATCTGCTAGCGTATGTTCTATTGGAAAATTCTGATCACAGTGTCCCAACAACTGTGGGGAGAGCCACCCGAGCTAGTGATCAAAATCAATTTAGATGCATCCATTTCAGCTCAAATGACACAAACAGGAATAGGAATTGTGACAAGAAAATGGGCAAAAAATATATAGTGAAAGCATGAGGACAGCTAAATGAGCTGAACAAAGGAACTGCTATTGTCGTAGAAGCTGAGGCCATCAAACATGCTCTAATTTTGGCTAAAGAAGTTGGCTGGAATGTCATTCAGATGTAATCAGACCGCAAGAATGACATAAAAATGATCAACTCCAGATGTGTTAGTAATAACAACTTAGCGACCGTCCGTGAGGATATTGAAGACGCGAGCGATATGTTTGACCAATGCACTTGTCCTTCATTTTACAGATCAGGCAATAGAATTAACCAAATGGATGTCAAGTCAGAAAAGCCTACCCTGTTTTCACTTAATGAAGCTGCGGAGGCAGATATAAGGGTAGTTGCCCTTTTTTTGTAACTATCCTTGTGTTATCAAGTATTTATAATATCACTTATTATCGTTTGACAAAACAAAAAGTCCTAGGACTTCCATGTATTAATTTTCACTTAACCCTAATAAAATTCCAAAATTAGGTATTCTTAGCATTTCAAAGCAGCACTTGTAAGTCATACCTATTTTCTTTAATTTGTTTTATTCTCCCTTTCCATGAGATAAATGTGCATGCTCCAAATAATTTATGAACCACAGTCAATAAAACGAAGGGTGCAAATGAGTCGAATCAAGTCGAATTTTGACCTAATCGAGGCGACTCTCAACCTAGGTTTATAAGCTTGGGCTCGACGAGCACAAAATGTAAAGCTCGAGCTCGAGCTTAAAAAAATAAAAAAAATTTAACAAATAATAAAATATTAGGGATATATATGTAATTTTACTATTAAAATAAAAGAATATATATAATCAAGTTCAAGCCGACTCGCAAACTAACGAGTTTAGTATTTTTTATCTCGATTTCGAGTTCGAATTTGACTTGGTCAATTCAAACTTGACTGAACTTGGACTCGAGCCACTCGCAGCTCTACGTAAACAAAGAAAAAAAATGACAGTAACAAACTGCAAAGCTCAATGTTCCCAAACCCAAACCAAAAAAAAAAAAAAAAGAAAGAGGGAAGGCTTATAAAACGAAAAAAAGTTTAAAAAATAAAATAAAAAGTGACATTGAGTAGTAATTGGTAAATGCCAAGGAAATATTGGACTAATGGTTAGGATTGAAATTCCAATATTTGGAGATTTTGGATTCGAATCCCCCTTCATTCTCTCAATTTTTTAAATTTCATTCATCTCCCGGTGGAGATTTTTTTTTAAAAAAAATTAGTGCTGAATTGGAGACTACCAAGAAAACAAAAATCAAAAGACAAGCCCAAGTGAGCTAGGCCCATCTAGACGGAAGCCCAGTTGCATTGTCCCATTTAGGGTTTTAGCGCTGTTCCATCGGTATCTGAAAGATTTCGAACCATACTAGGTTTTGCTTTTCAGAGCAGAGAGGACTTTGCAGGAAGACTCGTTAGAGTAAAATCTCTCATTTCTTCAAGGCAGCTGCTCTAATCCAACATGGGTATCCTCCGAAAAATCCCTGCTTTCTTGCACTCTCTCTTCGTCTATCAATGACTTTTAAATGGCCTGCTGGGTTTATATTTATGTAATTGTGGATTGTTCTGATGGAATTTTGAATAGGTATCTCGCGGGACTCTATGCACAAGAGGCGTGCCACTGGTGGCAAGAAAAAAGCTTGGAGGAAGAAGCGCAAGTACGTTTGCTGTATTTAGTTTATCTTTGCTGTTGTGGCTCATATTTGGCTAGCTTATTCATGGTGGATTCATCCTCTTGTTAGCTATAGCTTTGGTCTTTTTTGATGTGACATTGAATGGGTTGAACATGAAATTTGGGTTCATACTTGAGAGATCAATTTTCTTTTAATTTTTTGTACTGGCTGACTTTCATTTTTCCAATGGGGTGTTGGAGTTTATGCATTTTGGTTTTGGCCAACGGGTTGAGAGCAAAAGATGTCCAGGATTTGTTCTTTCCTACACGATCTGAATTTGAATTATTTTGGTGTTCCTCCGATGTTCTGATCGTTGTGTGTGGAACTAATTGTAGTATGGAAAGAAGAAGAAAATGATTGTCCCATTTTCTCGAGTCTTTATTTCAAAGTGATGAATGCGGCGTTATATAGAGTAGTTGTGTTCCTGGTTTTACAGATTTCGTTTCTCGTTGTTGAGCTAAGTGAACTTGCTCTTTTTAGTTGACATTGTACTAATGGATTTAACTACCTCTTGCTGCTTCTATATACCTGTGCATCTTTACGGCATTAATTAAGTGCCTTTCGTCTGTATCAGCATGTTTTGTTCGGATTTTAATACTCATGACTTCTTTGCAATGTAGTGGCTATGACTTCCACAATTAAGTTTCAATTTGTCTCGTGTTTTTCATCTTATATAGATGTAATTTTTATGTGGTTTTGTTTTCCCCATTTCATGCAATTGCTGCTGCCTGCTTTCCAATAGAACAAAGTTTTTGCACTATGTTTTGTCCCATGATAAATATTGAGGTATTCCTCATGTGTGGTCCAAATTAGGAAAAAACCCGGCATGGTTGGTTGTGAAACTGGTTCTGCATTTACTGCACACGTTTGTCTGCTTTGTCTTGGGCTTCTGCCTGATATATATATGTTTTTTGTTTCTTTTAAAAAGGTATGAGCTTGGTCGCCAGCCAGCAAACACTAAGCTCTCAAGCAACAAGACAGTCAGGAGAGTCCGTGTCCGTGGAGGCAATGTGAAGTGGAGGGCCTTGAGGTTGGACACAGGAAACTATTCTTGGGGTAGTGAGGCTGTCACTCGGAAGACCCGTATTCTTGATGTGATGTACAATGCCTCAAACAATGAGCTTGTCAGGACGCAAACTCTCGTGAAGAGTGCAATTGTTCAGGTTGATGCAGCCCCCTTTAAGCAGTGGTACCTTCAGCATTATGGTGTTGACATTGGTAGGAAGAAGAAGGGGCCTGCTAAGAAGGATACCACTGAGGTATATTGACATCTGTAGTCAATCTTATATACGCTAATAGCGTACACACTCATGGTTGGATGCATGACACATATACAACATTTGGATATCAAATTCAAATTCAAATTATTTGTTATGCATCCAATGATGATAGTGTATAAACTATCAATCTATAGAAGATGAATCCTTTTGTATATGGTAATAAGCACTTTAATTGTGTGAGGATACCTGCGTCCACCATAATCTCCTTCAACAATTCTACTTCAAGTAGTTTGTATTATTGTATTTAGTAATAAGCACTTTAATTGTGTATAATATGCATATACTAATTTGTTGAACCAATCCTCACCCTTTGGAAGATTGGTTACTTTTCTTTCTGCACCTTAGTGGAGCACCCAATAATTGTGACCAATCTGGAAAGAAACAAAAAGAAAAAGAACCAAGGGAACAGTGTTTCTGATGTTTCCAACTAGCCAAATTCCATGATATTTACTTGCTTGTACTATTATATGGCAGGATGGAGAGGCTACTGCTGAGGAAACTAAGAAGAGCAACCATGTTGTCAGGAAACTTGAGAAGCGCCAGCAAGGCCGCACACTTGATCCTCACATTGAGGAGCAATTTGGGGGTGGTAGATTGCTGGCCTGCATATCTTCTCGCCCAGGTCAATGTGGCAGAGCAGATGGGTAAGCTCAAGCAGTCATACCGGCTTTTTTTATTTTAGTTTACTACTGTTTCTCAGTTGCAGCGCCATCACACTTGTTTGCTCTTGTTGGATGAGTTTTTTGCAGTTACATCTTGGAGGGTAAAGAGCTCGAGTTCTATATGAAGAAAATTCAGAGGAAGAAAGGCAAGGCTTCTGGTGGTGCTGCTTAATCAGAATTCTATGTTCTTTTCTTGGGGGTCTTATCATAGAATTTTAGGTTTTTATGCTTCCTTAAGCTTTTGTCACCTGTACTTTAGCGGCACAGGAAAGGTTGCTGGAACATTTTCAGCTACTTAATTGCTAAAATTTTGAGTCTTTTCTTCTCCCTTTATGAATTAATTATATGGTCGTTGTTAGACATTTCAGAGTACTAGTCTTTGACAAGCAAGCTGTCTGATTTGCTCGTGCTTTAAATTCGAATTTCCACCTCTTTTGAACTTCTTTATGTTTGCCCTCATTTCTTTTCCCATTTGATCCCCATGAATCTGTTCGAAAATTTGACCGTTTTGGTGTGTTATTGTCAGCTGCAGTTTCTCGTCTCGTAGTTACTAACACTAGACCTGAAAAGCGTTTTACAATTTGACAAACTGAGAAGCTTGTTCTCCACAAAAATTGGTGATGCGGGAGGTCAAGGTTCTAACAAATTATCACATACCTCCCTAACAAATTATCACAATATGTGACGGTCTTCATTGATCAGTTTCGATGGAGTTTTTATTTGCATCAAGTCCCCTCCTCTCCCTAAAATAGGTTAGGTTAGATTATAGAAATTTTATCATATCGACAAAAAAAAAAAAGAGAAGCTTGTTCTCCGGAGCGAAAAGATTTAGCCGGTTGACCTCTAGGTCGTTGAGGCGGGCCAATGGGGTAATATGGGTGACTGCACATGTCGGTACACGTTTAGGCAATGGACTCCCAGGGCCCAGTTGCTTACAAGCAGTGTGTGTTGGGTAAGTGGCCCAGTTGCATTAGCGCTCTTAGCACAATTATCCTGAAATAGGCCTTATTGTTGCGTGCTGCCCGAGTGGCGTTACGTGACATCTTCCGAACCCGCTAAGTCAGCCTCAAATCTTGGCCTTCCAAATCGAGCCTGAA